ATAGTTGTTTATTTGGAATATATGCTAGAAATGTAATGTTGAAATTCTTTGTTGTTGCTCCTGTTCAAGTAGATGCTGGAATTAGTTTCAATGCTGAGACATGTTGGCTTTAGGAATTCATTTATACTTATTTTTTTTTCTATTACATGTTCTTATTCAAAATATATGCTGGGTGCAAATTTTGGGTTTTAAGGCTTTGTGGAATCTGATTTTTGGTGGCTCTGTTTTGGCCCCTTTGGTGGGCTTGGTTTAGTTGTATGGCTGCTTGGTTTTGGCCCCCCTTGTTGGGTTTGGTTTAGTAGTATGGCTTCTTGGTTTGGCCCCTTTGCTGGGCTCGGATTAGTTGAATAGTTGCTTGGTTTTGGCCACTTGCATGTCTCGGTTTTAACTTCCCATAGTTGCCCTGTTCGAAGTATATGCTGGTGATTTTTTTTAATTTAATTTTGGGAGCTTTGAAAGCTTTGCTTTGGGTCATTGTTTTGTTGTTTCTTTACTGCATTCGCTATTCATAATACATTAAATTAAAAAAAAAAATTTCTTAGCCTTTTAGGGCTGATTTTGTTGGTTTGGCTTTGGCCCTTGCTGTTGCTTTCTTGGTTTGAAATGTATGAGCAACTAAACTTGATTATATTTTAAGTTTTTGAGCTTTTGGCTTGGGGTTTGTGTTGTGGTTGGTTTGGGCTTGGCTTTCTTATTGCTGCTCCTAACCGTGAGCCCCCTTTTGGCCGCGATTCCTTGTCTATGAATTCTTTGTGAATGGCCTGGGCTTGAATTCCCCTCTGCTGTCCCTGGCCGCGAGCCTTCTCCTGTGGCTCTTTTGTGTTGAATTTGGGCTTGGCTTTCTCCTTATTGCCCCTGGTCGTGAGCCTTCTCATGTGGCTCTTTTATGTTGAATATGGATGGTGGTTTTTCCTGTGCTGCTGTCCCTGGCCGTGAGCCTTCTCCTGTGGCTCCTTGGTGTTGAATTTTGGCTTGGCTTTCTCTTTGCTGCCCCTGGCCGTGAGCCTTTGTGTTGTGGTTCCTTGGTTAGTGTCGTGGTTGGTTTGGGCTTGTCTCTCTCCTTGCTGCCCCTGGCCGTGAGACTTCTTGTTGTGGTTCCTTGGTTTGTGCCGCCATGGTTGGTTTGGGCTTGTCTCTCTCCTTGCTGCCTCTGGCCATGAGCCTTCTTCTGTGGCTCCTTTGTGATTGAGCGTGGTTGGTGGCACCTTCTACTGCTCCTACTCGAGAGCATATGTTTGGGTTCCTCTATGTGGTGTTGGGTTCTTATCTCATTGGAAACTTTCGATTTAAGGTGGAATTGAATGACTTTAATGTTTGCAAGGTGAAATACTTCAATTCTTCTTACTTAAAGAATTCAAATGCTCTTTTTTCAGAAGATGATCTTTTAGATGTTTGGGACAGCTTTGAGGCGTGTTTGGCTGCAGTTTCAAGCCACAATTGGAGGCTTTGTTTGGTAGTATTTGGCTGCGGTTTTGGGGGGTTGGTAGCTGCAGTTTGAGGTTTTATTTGATAATGTTTAACCACGATTTTTGGAGGTTTTTGTGCTGAAGTTTTTGAGCCTTTTAAGTATATTTTTGTAAGACATTTTGAGTTGCTATTTTGAGGCTATTAGCAGTGGTATTTTGATGTGACATGCAAGATTTTAGAGTTTAGAAAGTGACTGTTTGAAAATTTTGTCTCTTTTGTTTGATTGTGAAATATGAAAGGCTCTTACAACTTCATTTCGGGAAATCATAAAGCCAATATGAATCAGATTCATGAAGGATTTGAAAGCTCATAAAATTGTCATCCACGAAAGAGTTTTTTTTGGAAGTTTGACATTAATGTTTGGATAACTTAAATGTCACATTTGAGTTCAGGCTTGGGTGTGTGATTACATAAGTGATGCTGGAGCCGTGTATACAATTGTCACATTAATTCGGGCTCGTTTCGACCTGTTCGAAACAAAATTTGGAAGGGATACACTTCTTAGATCCATTTATAAAATTTGAGAATAAAATTTGAGAAGATATCCTTCTTGGATTGATTCAAGGATCTTGGGCCCTCCTTTTCAGATCTTTTCGTTACAAGTTTTGAGGGTTGATTCGCTCTTCGTCTTTTCGATATTTTGGATGGATCAGTTCCTCCTCTCTCATCCTCATTTTTATTCTTTTTTTCCTTGCTTCTTGGTTCCGTTTTCGGTGCTTATGTCTGACATATAGGTGTCTATATATAGCTTTTTGCTATATATGAAACCATTAAGCAATGTCGCAAGTAGGTTGGTTTTACTTTTTTGGGGCTTAGGGCGATGATGACAAAGACACGCCGGTGGTAGAGCATAATGATATTTCTTCCTACGACATCATGACTCAATCCTGAGAGCTGATAAACTGTAGGATGATAATATCGTTCACCGACACAAGACTAGCGGGGGATCCGTACCTTCTTATGTTGTTGGCGGTCCTACGCCAGACAGCGTAATCTACTCGTGGACAATCGTAATTTTTCAAAACTAATATGAACAAAATATGATAAGAACAGATACAATATTTATAAAAAAATATTTTTACTATAAAATTGATACAATTTTCTTTTGTATGCCTGAAATCCATGTGCATACTAAAATATAAATTTTAAATATATTGTAACTTGGTTGTCCACTTGTTGATTACCAGTATCGGGCTAAAGAGTACCCTCCTAAGTTAGGTTTAGTAGGACACCCTTTTAGTTAAGTGGCGGGTTGTATACATCAGGGTAACCGATGGTAGCCTTCGACGTTCCTCAAGTACAAATATATAATATTTGAGTCTAGCCCCGACCCGAGTGCTTGCGGTTTTCTTTCTTTGAATTTTTCATGGGATTTTATTGAAATTTTTGGTAAAGCACTCGTGGTTCTTTTCCGGGATCTTCCCGTGTTTTTAGCAACATTCCTTGAGTTATCATTTGCTATTTTTGCTTCGAGATTTCCGTTGTAAGTCATTGGCCGATTTTCTCGAGTTTTCTTTCGTCCTGGGTCATTTGTTGCTCTTTCTGAGTTTTCTAGGTGGTATTTCTTTTGTTGATACAATTCATGCTAGTTCATTTCTTAAATTCCGTCATTATACTTGTACCTGCTACTGTTTCTTTTACACACTATATCTTAGAATAGGAGACCGGTAATTGATTTTATAGGAGTTACCCGACAGTAGGTCGTTGACTAAACAATTGCATGTGCCCTTTAAAATTAACGTCGAATCCGAAAATGCTACGACGGGGAGTTTGGAGCAAACACCGGAGGCAACACGACGAGGACACACAAAAAAACAACTTCGACATGGATTTGTAACACCAAAACAAGTTCATGTCAACTAAACATTTTTCTTAATTTAAATAACAAGCTATAGGACTTCGAGGTGGTTTGCTTAGCGCAACGTAGATCCTCACCCTATCTTTAGGCTTTTGCACAACCATGTTGTGCAATTATAAGTCCTAACTCTTTTATGATTCCGAGGTTACCGTCCGGTACAGTGTAAATCCTCTTATCTTTCTAGGTTGTTTGCACGATCATATATCGTGCGAATGTAAGCCCTAAATTCTAAAAAGACATAAAACAAATAATAGGATTGTTGGGAGATCCCTGGATCTGTGATATCCCCTACTCTTTGCTCCTTTGGATTCCTTAAAATAATTGTTCCTATTTCAGCCACTCCCGTTTGATTTTCCCGTGTCCAATCTTGGAAACATAAACTTTGAAATTTGGAAGGTAAAACCACTGATCTTAATCGAGAGTCTTCTTAAGTGACCCCAGTCATTTAAGATGTAATTAACTATAGGGGTTTGCCTCTATAGGGAACTTAGAACCTAGGTAAAATAAACCTTATCTAATCCTTATATTAGGTAAGGGACTTGTCGGTCATACATAAAAGGTTTTGCAGACCCAACGGATGTCACAAACTCCTTAGTTTATGTGGTTGAGCCTACTGTTAAGTGATATGCTTATCCTTCGGGATAATGTATTACTTGTGGTAACGCGCTTAACTGTCCAAACTATTTAATATGTGAGACTCGTTTTCTTGTTGCTTTATAAAATTTCTGTGATGAGAAACAACTTCTTATAACCTGACATGTTAAAGTGTTGTGACTGAAAAAAAACTATTGTTTGATTTTTTAGAAAAAAATTACATTTATAATTCTTGCTGCAACTTTCTAAGAAGTTGTTTTCTCCACCATAGTTTTGCAATATCCTGTTTAAAAAGCTTCAACCACCCCAAACATACCCTTAGTCGCTTGTTGATTTGAATCTAAGCTTTTTCGAGGACTAGATTAACCTCAAATGAATAAATTTGAGTGTACAATGAAGGTGAATTAGCCTAAAAAAGTATAAGATAGGAGGACTTTAAATAGGAAAAATTACCTCAGAAATTGATTCAATTTCCTAAAATATCTAACACAAAGGGTAATGTGACCTTACCACATTCCTTTATGCGTAGGAAATAATTAACACTATTTGCCAGCACTATACGAATTCCTTAAATGAAGAAAACATTGGAAATGGCTACTGTAGTAGAGTTGTAGCTTATTTAAACAATAAGGACTAATATGTGATAATTGGTTGTTAGGAATTATCATTGTCAGTTGATAGTAGATGACAGATGGTCCAGTATCACGGTTGCTTTCCTCAAAATTATTGTTGTGCATACCTTTGTTTACCTTTAAGGGCATTTACATACATACCACACAATTCTTATGGATTTACTTATCTAACATCTAAACTTTGATTTTTACATTTCTAGCACTCAAATCCTTCTTATCACATAAAAAATATCACTATCATTAACTTTTTAAAAGTGAAATACACTTTTTGATGCATAATTAAAGTGGTATTAATGTAAATATTAAAGTTTATGTGTTAAATATGTAAATACATAAGAATTGTGTGGCATGTATGTAAATCTTCCTTAACATTATTTGAAGCTTGTCTGTCATTATAACAATACTTTTTCATTTATCGACTCTTGCAAATTACCGTCTTCCTTGTATAGGTAAATGCTTTTAGATCGATGCTGCATGATGACTTGATGGTAGGAGCTTTTTCTCATTCAACGGCTGTTGGAAAGTTACGCCAAGAACTTCCCGATGTACCGTTAGATGCACGTGTTGTATTGCCTCGTTATAACTTGGATGAGGCTGCTACAGTGTGCCACTATTATCTTAGGTATGCTTGGATTTCAGTTAATTACCATGTACTTGAATTATTTTTGTTGCTATTTTTCTGATGCAGACAAAATTACTTTTTTATTTTTATTTTTTTTATAATTTTATGTTGGATGCACAAATTGAAACATGTTTTTGTTGTTTAAGAAAGTTCTACAATGAACATCAACTCTTCTCAGTTTAAATTGACTCATAACATATGATACATTTACCCTAAATGCACTGCTATGAGTTTGTTAAATTCAAGATCTCTAGTCAAAATTTGTCTACCGAGTTTCAGGATTTCCATCAAACGGAAGACTCCCAAAATATATCCTCAACCTTGATTGTTCAACTTGAAAGCCCAAGCGATATTATATAGGTGAGAGTGCATTGAGTCTTTTAGATGTTAAAGTTCCTACAATGCTATCTCATGTGTTTACAACAAAGAAGGAACATGAAAAAAAACTATAGTAGTATCGTTTGATATTATCTATTCACGACAGAGGGCAACTAAAAAAATATTAAAATAAAAAAAGATCTATGAATCCTTTGTACTGCCCAAAATTCACGAACCTTGGTAATATTCTCATTAATCCTTTAGCTCGTGTTGAATCCACTTCTTCTTCGAATTCTGAGTCTTCTAATATTGAACATGAACCTAATTTGAATCCCAAGTTTAATAAGTCTAGCCTTCCCATAGGGAAAGGTCTTGCACCCTACGTCCATTGTCTCAATATGTGTCATATGAAAGCCTCGCCCACTTTATGTGTTTTTACCTCACAATTATCGCATATGGAGATTCCTTGTACTGTGTAGGATGCTTTGAAAGTCCCTAAGTGAAAGGAGGTTGTTTTCGAAGAGATGAAAGCTTTTGAAAAAATGGTACATGGGAATTGATTGATCTACTTAAGAGGAAAGATAACTGACAGATGCAAATAGGTGCTTACAATCAATTATAATTATGATGACTCCCTAGAATAGAACAAGTTTCGATTGGTTGCTTAGAGATTTACTCCAACCAATGCCATTGATTATTTAGAGACATTCAATCCAGTCGTAAAACTAAACTCTGTAAGGATTCTTTGTCAATCACAACTAATCTTGGCTAGCCCCTACAACAATTGGATTTAAAGTATGTCTTTCTTAATAGAGACTTGGAGAAAGAAGTGTATATGGATGCATCTCTGGAATTTAATGAGAAGTTTGACACAAAGGTATGTAGACTAAAAAATTTTTATGCATATTGAAGTTGTCATCGAGAGCATGGTTTGAGAAATTTACACTGTTTGTTAAAAGTCATGAGTATACTAAAAAATAAGGAGATCGTACAATATTTTTTAGACATTCAAACAATAAGAAGATAGCCTTACTGATCATGGGTATGATATTATTCTCACCAGAAATAATGCATTTGAGATGAAGCGTTTGAAGAATTCTCTATCATCTATTTTTGAAACCAAGGAGTTTGGATCTCTGATGTTTTTTCTTGGCAATGAGGCTGCTCGATCAAAGAAAGAAATTATTGTCTCAGAATGGAAGTATGTTCTTGATCTTCTCAAGGAAACTGGGATGAGTGGGTGTAAACCTGCAGACACTTTAATTGATTCCAATTTTTCCAATTAAAAATTGGGAAATGTGATTGAAGGTGATCCAATGAATACAACTAGGTATAAAAAAATCGGTGGAGAAATTGATATACTTATCACATACACGGTTAGAGATTGTTTTTGCCGTGAGTGTTAAGTCAATTTATGCATTCGCCATATGAAAAACACCTTGAGATAGTTAATAGAACTCTCATATATCTAATAGGTAGACCAGGTAAAGATTTATTCTTTCAGAAAACTACACAAAAGAGCATAGAGGCGTACGTTAATGCAGATTGGGCAGACCCAGTTATTAACAGGAGATAAACTTTTGGATACTGAACATATATTGGGAAAACTAGGTTATATGATGAAATAGGAAACAAAATGTGGTTGCAAGGAGTAGTGCTGAGGCATAATATAGGGCTATGGCTAGTGGAGTATGTTAGATGTTATGTTTGAAAAAAATTCTTGAAAAGCTGCAAATCCCAATAAGCATGCCAACGATGTTGTATTGAGACAATAAAACAACCATAGACATTGTAGAAAATCCAGAAACATGATCGCACAAAGCCTGTGGAGATTAACCAGAGAAAATTGATTGAGTTATTTGTATGTCATGTATCTTTACTACTCGACAAATTTTAGATATCTACACCAAAGGACTGTTCAGGCCTAATGCTGAGCCCCTTGTAAGCAAGTTGCATGTATCTATGCTCCAACTTGAGGGGATTGTTGGATTGTTAGGAAGTTTTTATTTTTAGTATATTCTATTATCAGTATTTTTTATTTATAGAAGTTAGAATTATTGTTATGTCATAATTCTTTTTTCCTTCTTTTAGTATGGGAAGTTATGGCTGATCTTATTATTTTTCTAATATGGGAGTCATTACTCTCTATTTATCTTGTAATCGTTTTATAAGAATGGAAGAGGAATAATTATTTTTCAGCTCCCAAAAACTACATATACCAATTAATCTGGGGCTCGCCATAAAAAGGCCTCCATCCCTACATGTTAAAAGGTGCGTTAAAGATGGGATTTGTGGAGAGGAAAGGCAAATATACTATATTACAGAACCTATTCTTTGAGGGATGGATTATGGATTACACAGATCTTAATATACTCGAGAGAGTTGGGGATATAGCCTGAATGTTGGATAGTATAATTTGGTTGGGCTGAGGCCAATTTAACTATGGTCGTCGGGGAAGAAGCTGAGTAGTTTTTGCAGGTACTTGGCGAATCCAAAAAGTTGTTCGAGTGATTTTAAGTTGGATTAGTTTGGCTGTGGAAGAAACAGGCTCTATTTACTATTTTTGACGCTTTTTTTATTTCCTTGTAGCCTTCAAAAGCCATATACACAATGAGAGATTCATTTGGCAAATACAACCATGAGTGATAACCTATTAAGTTTGAGCGAACTTGTCTCAATTTGAGAGCTAAGATTTGATTTTAACTCAAATCAACTTTGGGTTGTGTTGAATTTAGAGTACTTTGAGCCGAGTGTACTATTTGTAAAAAGTATTGCTAAATTCTTAGTTTTAAGTTTATGAGTAGGCAAATACATATAAAATAGATTACACATAGATAGGCTAAGTCTATGTGAGCATTTGTGTACCACACACACGTGCACGCGAACACACACACATGCGCATACGTGCATGTGTTTGTGTGCATACATGCATACTTCAGGCTAGACCTCAACCAATGTTATTTGAATTAATATTTAAAACTGTATACTTTTTTTTTTCAGTTACTCATTTTCCAACAAAACACCCATCTTCTCTTCCTAAATGTCTCTCAACATTTATAATTGTCCAAACATCATTTAAAGGGGGAAAAGAAAAACTCTTATTGATGCTTCACTAAAATCTCCATCATCTCTCAATTCCCAAACATGCCAACATGAATTCCATTGACAACATTTTAACATAATGGAAATCATATATCGGCTTTAATGTATCATATTATCACAATTCTTATGTATTTACCTATCTCACACCCTTACATACAGCAACTTTCATATTTACGCATATAGCACTCAAATCTTTAATATCCCATCACAAATATCACTATTATCACTTTTTAGAAGTGAAATACACATTTTCATGCATACATTTAAAACATTAAAATGCTATATATGTAAATATGAAAGTTTAGGTGTGAGATATGTAAATACATTAGTATTCTATGCTAGCTATGTAAATTTCCATAAAAATATTGCTTTCTTTCATTCGTCTTCCATTCACTTCGAATTATTCCTAAGCTCATTCTATGATACTAGGTTCGTCTGCATGCGCACATATGCTGCAACATTGGAAATGTCATTTTATATTTCTAAGAATTTCTAATTTTGTTTCTGGGGTTTCAAGTTCTGAAAATTTTATTTATTTATTTTTCTGTGTATTGCTAATTTCCTAAATTCATGTAAAGAAAAAGGGTTTGTAAAGAATATAGGTGAAGTTTCATGGCTTTGCTGTTACGAATGACGTTTTGCATGAACTTTCTGTTGCAGTGATTGTATCTAATGCCATGCTCCCAATTTCTGTGCAGGCAAAACCTCATTCATCGCGATAGATTTTCTGAAGAAAAGTGGAAGAAGATGTATTATTTATCAAATGGAAATGGATCAGAGATGAGATGGTTGGCTCCCTTCATCTAATTTTGCAATAGAGAAGACCAGCACAGGTGATGACTTCTTCATGCTCTTGTTTTTTATGCATTTAGCATAATCACCATATCTTCCTTTGAAGAAAAGGTGTATTTATATTTTTAAAGTTTAAATAGTGATATTTTTGATGTGATAGGAAAGATTTGTGGCCGGTGGGGGGGGCGGGGGGCTGTAGAATGTCAAAAGCAAAGTTTAGGCGTTAGATATGTAAATACTTAGGAATTGGGTGGTACGTGTGTACATGCCCCTATATCATTGTAGTACCGAAATTTCATGTGGTTCAGACAGGCATTTTCAAGCCAAAGAAGCCAGTTTTGTCTTGTTTTTTCTTAATTTCAATCAACAAAGGCTGATGTTACTGACTTTTCTTTTTGTTGCAGTTCTGCATCGCTATGCTGTCGCAAAAAACAACTTTCGAGGTACAGGCAAATTTTAACACCTTGTTACATTTAGAAGATCAATCTCCCTAAAAGGAAATTCGAAATTCTAGTTCGGTTGTTCAAAATGTTGCGTGTATTGTGTTCAGATCTCCATGATTTTTTGGCTAGGCTGAACCGTGTATGATTTATGAGATTGTTATTATTAATTTATATATATTTTTTAATGATTCATGTGAGAAAATTAGAAAAAATAATTATGTTAGTGTGGTAGTTGTGGAAAAATATTACATTAGGACTCCGAACGTAGAGCTACGTTCGGAGTCCAATAAAATGAGGACACACCTACGTTCGGAGTCCAATAAAATGAGGGCACGCAGAATGTAGGCTCACATAGAATTCTGGTATAAAAAGAGAAATGTGTGCGCAACCCGGTTCAACCCTTACCCGATTCTTTATTCTTAAATTAAATAACTTTTAATTAAAATTAGAAAATTACATTCTTTTAAAATATTGAATACGTGGAAAAAGATAACTTTTAATTAAAATTAGAAAATTACATTCTTTAAAAATATTGAATACGTGGAAAAAGCAAATAAACATATGTCAAAGTTAACAGAAACAATTGAAATTACTTTATTTTCACAAACTTTTAATAATTTAAAACTCCAATAACACTGGAATAATACATGAATAAGACTAATTCATACCTAAATAACATAAGTAATACAGAAATAGTCGCTGTGTTATAGAAATATTCCTCTGCGTTATTTATTTTCTTCTGCGTTATTTAGCTTTTTCGCTGTGTTACAGGAATATTTAATCTGCATTATTTCTGATTTTGCGGGGTTTTTTTATATTCTGAGGTGTTATTTGTGAAAATGAAGTGTTATTCGATTATTTTTCGGTGTTATTGGAATATTCCCCCGTGTTACTTGATTTGAGACTGTGTTATTCGAAATATTCCGTGTTATTTTAATTTCCATTGTGTTATTTTGTCTTCTAAGCATTTTATTCAAATATTTTGGGGGTTATTTTATAGTACCCGATGTTATTCGTGAAAAATGAAGTCTTATTTGAGTATTATGTGATGTTATTCGATTACTTTGCAGTGTTATTGGAAACATCGTAACTTTGGGTTGAATTGGGGTTGGGTCACACGACCAGTAGTTAATTTTTAAATTTTAAAAATAGTGGGTCTGGGTTTCGGGCCGAGCGGCTCGATAAAAATTATATTTTTCATTTGTCCCATCGGTAAATCTCGACATTCTGCGTTTCCTCATTTTATTGGACTCCAAACGGTGTTATACGTTCATAGTCCTGCTGTAATATTTTCAGAAAATTGTAGTTGGTTTAACTCTTTTGTTGCTAAGTAGGGGTGTAAACCTAGCTTGAGCAAGCCTAAGCTAGGTTCGTGATCTGCTCATTAAAAAATATCTCTGTTTGTGTTTGACTTGTCTATATATCAAGCTTAAAAATTCTTTTGGTGTTCGACTTGTTTGGTTAGACACGAGCTGGTCTTGAACAACGAGTTATTTTCATAGCCTTAATCACACTGCCGTAAGATGTTAAGTGCAGGAACAAGGTTTAAATCTTATTATTTATATTAAAATATTCATTTAAATAGAATTTAATATAAATTTATTATATTTTTTATTAATATTTTTAATTGATTATAATTTTTTTTTACCTTGTAGTTAATTAAATTATTTTAAAATAATGCTCATCAATTATACACACAAATATATGCATGTACAAACATGCATATATATATATATAATAAGATTTGCAAAAATGAGCGGAACACGAATGAATAAAATTTTGTTTGTGTTCGGCCTATTTATATATCGAGAGCAAAAAAAAATGTTCATGTTTGACTCATTTGCTTATCGAATGAATCAAACACGAGCTACTTAATGAGTCGAGCCCGAGCTATATGTGAACTAGGAGCAGAAAATAAATCGTTCCTACATAATAAGAGGCATAAAATCTTATATATATATATATATCACATCAATTACTCTATTATTCTATCATAGTATTTTTTTTTATTTAAATTTCTTTTTCTTTTTCATAATAAATAAAACTCGAATTCAAACTCGATTAAGTAATCAAATTCAAGCCTACTCGGCTGAACTTGGCTCACCCTCAGCTTGATACATTTACACTTCCTTATCATAAAAAACTCCTTTTTGATTCAGGAGCATTAATAGTTTCACTTAGGTCTTCGGTTAGCCATTTTTCAGCTCCTACTAGCCATTTGGCTTATGCCTTCGGCAATGCTAATACTTTTTTTTATCTTCTCTACAAAATTATGTTATTATTGATAAACATGAAGTACCATTGAAGTCCTCAAAACATTGGTAAATCATTTTTGGAGAACACAAGTTCCCTTCTTGGAGTTAACTTCAAGTCATAGTATATGCCAATCATTATGTTCTTCATATCATCTTCAATAGGAAAATGTACAAACTATTGGGCAATGTTGACAATGTAAGAATAATCATCATCATTATCAAGTTTGAGCCTAAGCCTAAGAAGTAGTTAGGAAATAATATATTGAAATTATGTTAATAATATTAAAAAAAAAAAGGAATCTTAAATTATGAATAGCTTGATTGAAATTTCAACTAAAACAGTGAAATTTTGTGTTTTCTTCATAATGCATTTATTGGGCAGAATTATACAGTAATTAGCAAAAGATTTTATGAGGTTATATATGAACATTTATAGGAACATTTATAGGTGGAGAACCCCCGTATGTAAACTGGCATTTGAATTTAATCTATTGAAGATAAAAAAAATGCATCTCATAAGTCATTTCTTTGTTTACTAAGCTCTCATCATTTGAGTTCAATGTTCCTCAAATTAAGAATCCATTTCTTCAGTGAAATTTCCTCCCCGTCTTACATCACTCACATCCTATTCAACAAACTTTAACCTCATCCCTTCACAAGTCTCTCTAGCAACATGCATCTACTTCTACCACATAAATTGTTAAGTCATATTACTTAAGTTGTACCTCCTTTAACACAAACTTTCCTCTCCCCCAACTAGCTCCTTCCAATACCCGAACTCCTTTATTTATTTAGATCTCAACATCTTGTTCCACTAAAAGATCTAACCTCCCAAATCCTTAAACCCCAAACTTAAAAAAAAAA